TACACAGTACAATGCAATTCTTACTTGAATGCGTTCTTCACAGACTAGACGATTAAACAAATAAAGCAGCGCAACATTACAGTAACTAACTGACGTGTACTATTAGAGCATTTATTTCATTTATTTAAACTTTATTTTGCCATGTGAATTAACTGAAAACCAGTTTTCACTGCTTTACGTGCGTTTTGGGAGAAATTGCAGATAACGCATCGATACTGCTTGGGATACAAACGTCATGCGTGTGACTCTTCAGCCAATAAGGGCAAAATTGTGTCCTTACAGAGGCGCAGGATCTGTCTTAAGTCGTCTTGCTCTCGCGAGGTTTTTGTACCATGTGACATGGTGACGCGTAGTGACGTTTTGTAGCGCCGGCTGAAGTCGGACAAAAAATCTAATCATTTACAGTTCTTGTAAATAAAATAAAATAAATAATAATAAAAAAAATCTAATCATGATGCATTGCTTTAAGCCAGCGCTGTAAGCGGCGCATTGAAATCGAACGCGCCCTATATCACATCGAGTGCAAGGACGGAGGTGAAGGCAGGCGTGGAGGAAAACCAAAAGAGGCTTTATTAAAGAAAACTACAATACCGGCAGGGCAAAGGAAACAGACTATGAGGGTTCAAAATGGAGTAGGGAGGGTCGGGCAGGAACACTAAGCACAGGGCACACTGAGGAACACATGCAGGTAGTGACATCAATGCCTGGACTGGGGATCGCAGGACTGAAAGACGCATTGTACAGGGAGCAGAGGCATCTGGGGTGATCCACAGGAGGGCTGTAAGGAGATGTAATATTAAACAAGTAACAGGTGTGGCTTATTAGAGCCACACAGGGGAGAGAACGAGGGGGAAGGGATGCAGGGCGTGACTATTAATTGCTCACTGTTTTCACCACATTTTGCAGTTTTTTTTAATTCACCCAATTATTTGTGGATGCTGTTAATGAATATCTGAGTAATTATACGAATATGTGCCACTTCCCACTCAATGTTTTATTTTCAAATTTCTGTTTTAAAATCCTTTAAGCATCTTTTTGGATTCATCGATCCTTACCTTTCCCAAAGAAGTGCCATGCCATTTCCGCCTATCTTGTTTTAAAGTGTACTATTGCAAATAATCAACATCCATGCCTGTTTCATGACCCCTGTTCATCTTTTAAGAAAGGGCCATGAAAACAAAATAATTCCTAAATTTCTTTAGATGGATAACTGGTCTCACTTAACTTATTTTACAAGTTAATTGTACAATTGTCTTTTCATTTTTTAAATGATATTAGAATTGTATACTAAGGGATATACAGTACAGTAACAGGGGTATTTATACAAGGGGTGTAACAGGGTTGACACCTCAGTAACAGGGTTAAAAACAGTTACCATATTGGTTATATTGCTTATTTAAATTATAGTTATAAGTTTAACTGACTTATGATGGGACATAAACTTTAATTCAACAGGACCAAAAAATATGAGGCAGAATTATCAAGAGGTTTTAGCATAGAAGATAATGAAAAATGATGACAGTGATGAGAGGTTCATAGAGCATTCATAATGCACAATAACCATGGCTGAAATGTGTTATGACTAGTTATAACCATGTTTATAATACCTCATAAATGCATTATAATGCATTATGAAGGTATCTATAATGCTCTTATATGACTGCTTTAAGTGTTTCCAAAATATCTAATCTCAATTCTGCTGCAGAAAGAGGCATCCTACCAAATCATATAATACAAACGCATAAATCCCGTTATTACTAACACTAACCTATATTTTGTAGTAACTTATAATAAAAAAACTAATGAATAATAAAGCTAATTTCTAAAACCCAGTTCTCTGATAGTGTATGGAGAAGTATAGGTCAATAACCTCAACTCACTGTAGCATTCTATTAGTTAAGGAATTAACCTGCAAATACCATTGAGAAGAATATAGTTTTATGTAAAAGCATATATTTTCTGTCAACCATTACCACCCTAGGGTAACAGGGTTGCTAATAACAGGGTTGACAGTAACAGGGGTGATGAAAAATGTTATTGGCGGCCAATACTAGCCATGTAGTAAAGACCATGACATGGTGTGCATTCAAGAGAGGCTTATACGTTGTTGTGTAAGTACATATGAAATTTAAAAAAACTTTTTAACATGTTTTTTTGTGGTAACAGGGTCGAGACATTGAGCTTGTCTGATTTTACACGACTCAAAGAAAATTAGTCAAAAGAAGAGAGCGCTTACTTGTCTTTTCACAACCAACTTCAATAAAGGTAGAAGATGCAAATTCCTGGAAACAATGAAACTTTTGGAACAGTCCTCTATCTCTTAAGGGTTGTTTTCATGAAAACTACTAAATTGTTCTGTTTAACAACATTTTACACATTTTACAAATGAAAAGCATGAGTAGTGAAAGGATGCTTGAGGCTTCATACAAGTTTAAGTTTGTTTACGGTAATTTGACCTTTTTTGGCCTCAAAAAAGGGACAGGCTGGTTTTATATTTTTTGCAAGTTGCTTCTCACAATTGAATTGCTTTTAAAACAACAAAAAAATAATATGTTTTTATGCTAAAAGACATTTCAGCAAAATGAAATTAGAAAATATTTGATGTTTATTGAGGTTTACAGAGAAGTTTTTTTTTCTGTGGGACACAAAATTACAAGTTTTTGTATAACCACCTATATAACCCCTTAAAATTTCCCAGAGTACTTTTGGGTAGAAGCATAATGTGTCACAATAACATTCTGCTATTAAAAGTCAGACAAGACTGTCTTGGAATTTTGATTGATGAGCTAGAAATAGAATGCAAAATTTTTATAAGCATGGTGAACTCGTGGTTAGAAATGTTTCCACAGTCTGTTAAATGGTGTTTTAAGACTATGAACTCAATATTTTCCTCGGTATTACACAACTCGAGCTAGTAAGATAATCCTGTGAAGGGGTAAGAAATCTCTCTAGCTTCCTTTTGCCTTAAGATCACATTTTTATTTAAATCTTTCTGTAAAAATGTCACAATGTCCTGCAAGCAGCATGAATTGATGTTCTGGTCGAAGCAGTTGAAGGAGGGTCATCTCATAGAGGAGATTGCTGTGATGCAGTCTCACTTTCTCTTTCAATCCCTTTTATAGACTCAGCTCAACATACTACCTCCTGTAGCAATGCTGAATTGACCATAATATTGATTAAATTTCACAGCTCAAAGGCAACGCTGGAACGCAACAATGCTGGCTTGAACTATTTCATCATGAGGCTGTGGGGCTAACTTTGTGTTTGATGCTCTGGGGCATGTTATTCGTCACTGAGGAGCAGCCAGAAGTTTATCTACCAGTGAAGCATTTCATTGCTAAGAGCTGCTAGCCAGCTGCAGATCTTAGTGCCGAACATGTATTCAGCTGTGATGAGGTGTCATTTGAACTAAATCACTGCTTTATGTTTCAACGTTAATCTTAAGAAGATTGCCTTCTACTTGTAGCACATCTGTAAACAAAGCAGGAACATAGAAATTATAGCTTCTCTGAATATCTAAAGTGGTAAGAGATGATTTGCAAAATCCCTATTAACATATTCTATGCAGTAAAAATGAACATTAAAAAATTAGCAGTAAATAATGTGTCTTTCATTTTCAATTTTTATCCATAGCTAGAAGGAAAATGCATTCTGAATTCACTTGTTTCAGAAATCGTCAAGACCAAATTTTTGTCCATAAAAAAGTCTTTTTAAAAACCCCGCTCTGCCATCTCAGATTAATATACACTGTTGCGTTGTTGACAGTATAAACAATCAGATTAAGAATAATCTGGTCTGAACTGGGGTATTTTTGTGTTCTTGTGAATTAATAATTCACCATGAGTGTGATACAGACATTTCAGTACAAGGCCTTCATCAGTATGTGCTTTTCAAGTATTTTGTTTAGACTTTCTTGCCATGACCAAAATAAATTATAAAATGTCCAGTTAAATTATCAAGGTTATGAACCAGGGGTATTCAACTAAAATTTATAGAGGTCCAGTTAGAGAAAATTTCTTGAAGCAAAGGTCCGGAAGATCATAATGTCTAACTATATAGTGTGATATATATTTAAGTAGCCAATTAGTTGTATCAACATTGCATGTAAACAGTACCTGACTGTCAAATCAAATTAATTCAGTACAATACAAAAAGGTTTTGACTGTTTTATTGTCACGTGACATAGAATTTCGGCCAGCTGGCTGGAGTGAGATTTCAATTCGAGATGTCTGCACACACATGTAACAGTTCTTACCTTGTAAATTGTCTTGCTTTTGTATTTAACCATGTAAACACACCTTTGACGTAGCTAATTTTAGGTTCTATAATGGAATAATATAGATTTGCCGTAAGATTTCCAGCGTGAGTCTGAAAGCGTGAGTGTCATGCCAGATGCTTATATTTGGCAGCCATGAAAATGTACATTTTGTGTTTCACCTGAGTTTATTTATATAACAGATAACATTACTTTATACATAAAAAGCAGAAACTTCAACAAACATGAAACCAACAATAAAATACGTCTATCCAACATGTTATATAATACATACTGTATTTGAAAACTTTTCAGCTGTATGATTTCAGGACAGACCAGTCACTCTGTTAGGGACATTGCAGCTTTTTGGTTGTGGATGTTAGCTTTGCTGCTGCTATTAACACTAATGGCACATTAGCGCAGACAAAGGGCTGCATAAGTCAAACTACATCTTGCTTGGCGGTTAAAGGTGTTTGATGTTCATTGGCGTGGGAAACGGTGGTTCTACTGCTAAACCACTACCGAAAAGACTACAAACGCTGCGCCGGTTAAAATAGAAGCATCCCACCAGGTTTTAAATAACTTAATGTTTTGGCTATCAGTCCGGGTCCATATGGGACAGCTTCTGGGTCCGGACCCAGCCCGTGGTCCGCCTGTTAGTGACCTCTGTTATAAACCATGAAATCAAGTAATCCATAGTGTATGCCTGTGATGACTGACGACGGTATTCCGTTTCCCAATCCAGAACTCAATGAACCTGCCACCAGACAAGGTGAAGCTCCTTTGCCAGTATGACAATGAAAAGAAGTGGGAACTCGTCTGCGACCAGGTGAGGAGCAGAAGATGCCCACAAGAAATGGGACTGAGCTCAAACAGCAGTTTGCGGAGCTGCCTGTATTCGATACGTGAAGAATGTGACGCACCATGCCATAATGCGATCGTCGCTTGAGTGTCAGCATGTCTGCCCACGTTGCCAACGTGTGCATCCTTGTGCAAGTACCCTTGTGGTTGCCACGAGGCCTGCCTCATGCTGTGTGCCTCATAAATATTTTAAATTGCCATGGTAACTGCAGTAAGCCAGCTGACTACCTGTGGCACAAACAGTAGTGTCACATATGCACTGTCACCGTGGAAACACATGCGGGCAATATTTTGGCTAGTGTTCCCTCAACTTTAGCTCTCAAGAAGATTGCATTTGCACACAGCTGAATATTTATGACTGCAGAGGGGCTGTGAAGCTTCCTATTATGTCTGACCTCATGCCATGGTCGTTTCTGAGATGGACTGAATAGCTAAATAAACAAGCGTGAGAAATAAACACATATGTTTATTCCAGCATGAGAGTGAATAGCTTACCACTTCATTGCTGACACATCAATGTAAAAAAAATAATCAGTTTTCAACAAATAATAAAGTGACAAACACAATGTCTCCATGAAATGCCAATACTACTTCAGCTGACTACACATTTGTGGTTATCTGCCCTCGGCAACAGGAACGTTTCCAGGTGAAGAACCCCCCCTCGACATACCTGCTAAAACTGAAAAGCTACCTGGACCAAGGAGTCACTCGGAAGGTAGGTCCCCCTCTTTGCTCAACACCTATGGGAAAATTCCCCCATGTTAAAGACTACCATTCTGAATATGCCTCGAATGATCCAGACCATACTGACTGCAAAAAAAACACATAATGGACTCATAATAGAGATTTCGCTCTGGAAGTTAATTAGTTTATGTTAGTCTCTGGTCTGACAGTTTTAAAATAACTCTCCCGCAAATTGGTCTCCTGGGTGCTTTCTAGACTTGCTTTGGGTAGAGACCAGTAAACTCTATTGTGCTATTTTTAGTTAAGCTTACGTGCTTAAATAATAGCAGATTGTGGTGATGTATATCAACAAGTAAACAGAAGAGCAAATTTCCAAAACATACTCAGTCTCTTTCTTGTTTTTGAGATAAGATCACCAATGACCTAAAGTCACTCTTCTTCATCATGTTAAAGTATTGTAATACAATAAAGAATTTTCATTAAATTTCCAAAATTCACTAAGTTAATATACATTTTCTCAAAAATGTATCCCTTAGACTGAGTGAGTTTTGGAAATTTGCATTTCAACTGTGTCATGAATTATTTTAGGGATACCCTTAAAGAAAATATTCAGTTGCAAACCGTATTTTGTAAGAATGTGTTTCAAGCTAATTCCAGCTAATCAAAATCCTGATTGTGATTTTTTTAGCTGGTCAATATGGAGAGAAACAGATATGACTATAACACTATTACTTTATTTAAAAAAAAAAAAACTTTTTGCAGAATTAGTACTGATTGTAATAAACTTCCCTATTTCCTTTGAAACTATATCTCTTGACTTGTACTTCTGTAAATTTCCTCTAGAAAATGTACTGACAATCCAAATATCTCACATCTGTTCTGTCAGTTTAAAAGGCGGGCCCAGGAGTCCACCCAAGTCCTGAGGGAGCTGGAGATTTCTCTGAGGACCAATCACATTGGGTGAAGACCTCCTGAAACACTCAATGCATCAGATTGCTGCCTTTCACCAATGAGATGGTTTTTAAGTTGGTTTTCCATGTTCCAATCTTACAGCTACTGGCTTCTACAGATTAACTCAAACCTCAGTGGAGACTAGAACCACAGAGGAATACTAAATATCACATCATGCATACAAAGAAAACATGTTACATGTTAGTTTATTCTGATGAATCTTTCCCGGCCATGTATGATGTCTTACCGCGGATCCTCTCACCCCTAGCTGGGCCAAGGAGTTTCTCAATGAAGAGAACAGAGGTCTGGATGTGTTAGTGGATTACCTGTCCTGCGCCCAGTCTGCTGTCACGTAAGTACTGGTCTCAGTAGGGTTAACCTCATGTTTTAACTATCGTACACACCGGCATGATTAAATGGGAGTGTGCAGCAATAGAGGCCTTGTCAAGCAGAATGTGACAGTCTAGCAGTTTTCACTACTGTGTCAACATGCTGCAGGCATGACATGGACAGTGCAGATAATGGGACTCTCCCAGGGGACAGAGGAGAAAAAATGACAGAGGTGCTATCCAAGAGTGCCAGCAGCTCCCCCACCCACAGTGCCCCCAGGGCCACGCGTACTCTGGCCGTCCGGTGAGTGTCCCCCCACCCTGCCGTGATACCTGCCCATGCTTTGGTTCCCGTAAGGAGAATCGGAGGGCTATAGAGTATGTATTCCTACTGAGTAAAGGCTTGCTCAGGCTTGGCTCTCTAGCAGGTGTCTTTATGCTGCACTGCCTTGGAGTGTTAATGATGGGGAGGTCCGGTCACTTCATTGCACCATGACACCTAGAGCCCGAGCAAACTGACAGTTTCCTAGTATACCACTTATTCAAAGTATTTTAAGGAAGCAAAAATGCAAATACCTGGCAATATGTAATTGATGAAATTGTATACATTGTGTTCCCCACAATGTAATAAAAACCTGATATTTTGACTTTGTGGGGACCATTTTCTCAGGTCCCCACAAAGATTTGTGAATGCAGTCAAAATACTAAATACTAATACTAATATACCAAATACTAATACAAAATTTTCTTTGGTTACTTATGTATAAGGTTAGGGCTGGGTAGGGGTCATAGGTGTCAAGTCTCCTGTTTTGGCCGGGAAACTACCGTATTTTACCCCTCTTTCCCGCCGTCCTCTTGTATTAGTACTTTCCCGTAAATCTCGTGTATTATAATATCATTTAAAAATTCCTCTGCCTCTCCAAACTGAACTGTCAGTA